TACGCTATTACGTTTCATTTCGAAGTACAAAAGTGCAGAATAAAAAGCCTAATTTAAAGACACAAAGACAGGTCATATAGACTAGAACAGAAAATTTAAATAATAAATAATAAAAAAAATCTTCAAATTCAATATCTTCTTCTTAAATAAAAACAATAAATTTCTCCTTACATTATAAGAAACATTAATATTAGATATTATTATTTAATTTCAATATGCATATAGATAAAAAAGTAGGAAAAACAAGGATTTTTATAATACATACAATATAATATTCGTATCTTAATCAATTTTACAAAAAGGTTTAATCAAATCTCAATTATTCTCTCTAACAACAATCAAGATGATTCGCATAGATATAATTACCAATAAAGATATGCCCATAGAAAGCAATCATCACGTTCATTTAGACCACCTTATCATTCTCATTATTGTGGAAAGCAACGACACGCGTTATTAGAGACGTTCTGCGAGCTTGGATATTAGCTGGACACGTTGTGGGTTGAAATGTAGACAATCGAACTTGTTATCTCATTTGCATATCGGTTTCATTACAGATGGAAATTACTCGCGCGTATCCAATATTTCAAGGGACATTACAACACGTCACGGAGTTTCGAAAGATTATTACGTTATTACGGGACGGTGAATTTCCGAGGGCTGATTCGATGCAGACCATTACCACTTTCCCTCTTCCTCTTTCTCTCTTTCTCTCTCTCACTCACTCTATATATCTCTCCCCATTCATCTCTATCTCTCTCTTCCTCTCGCTCCTCCACTGTTATTGCATCTCGTACCGTTTGCTCTACTGACGGCGAAAAAGATGGCAATGATAGTGTATCATTGCAGATCAGTCATAAAAGCACAGGCAAAGAAGCAGATTTTATAGAATATTCCAATTGATTAATCGATAGTTTTTATTTTTAATGCATTACTTTTAATTTAAATTTGATTTGAATTTTATTTTTGTACGAGAATAGATAATTTTTTTTTTTCACTTTTTCAATTCAATTCTATTTTATTCTAATTTATATGGTGTTTTTAGTATGTTGTACAAGCTTAGTTTAGCTTTAATATTATCGATATTTTCCAAGTTATAAAATTTTAATTGTGTTGTACGTATTCAATCATTGACACGAAATTAATTTGTACGTAAGAATATCTCATTATTAATTGAATTATCTTCATGAAAATTGATCATTGATTTAATGATATTAATAATGAACAATCAAAGACAATTATTAATCGTTAATTATCATATATAACTTGGTAAATAACTTATTCCAATAATAAGAATATTGGAATGAAAATGAAAATTCAATCGTTAATTTACATTTCAACTCTCCCATATTTTGTACATATTATACATGCATTAAATACGAGAATTATTAACACTTACCTCCTATTCCTCCATGCTCTTCACTTTATACTATAGTTTACTATAAATCTTTCGACATTCTATTAAATGAAAATACTATTTTAATGTACAATAGTGATCAAAATAACTTGATCATTTAATTAAATATTAATATAATATTTAATAATATAATAATAATATAATAATAATAATAATATAATATTTAATTAAATATTATAAAGAAACAAAAGATTAATCATTTTCTAGAATATTTTCTTCTATTATCAAAATCAAGTTCAAAGTTCAAATCATGTTCAAGTTATTTTATCATAGATATTTAAAGTAACAAAAGAAACACGCAAGAATGATGAACGAGTTGAAAACGTTTAATGTAAATCAATGAATAAATGAACAATGATTTATAATGGCAGTCATGTATTCGATTTATTAAGATATTCAGACCGACAATTTCACTATCCACGTCTGATGCTCGTTCCACGGATTATTTTCGATGTACGTAAATCCAATAAAAATTGTCTACGACATAGTGAAACTATCGGGCACGATACATTAATAACGTTAATATAATAATAATTCAATACGACATATCTATGATCGCTGTAGCCTCGATTCGTTTTTTTCTTTTTTCTTTTTTTTTCTTTTTTTTCTTGTCATTTTTTCATCTTCTAGTGAACGATGTTCTCACACGATCATCGCCATAACGTTTCGTACGGTCGCTTATAATATTACGCTTATTCACAACACTCGCCATTTTTCTTTGCACTTTGCTTTAACAATCGCAGCCTCGAATCATCACAGCGATTAACAGACGACGATTCGTATTGATCACAGCATAACGTATCTACAATATTTACAGAATAATCAATCGGCGAAGACGCGTTTCTTTGTCATCCGTGTAACGATCGAATTTGGAATTACGTGATTTTAAAATTGAATGCCTCGTTGATTTTTTTTTTTTAACATACAATTCGTCGAGAAAGTTTCGAATCATCTATCTTTTATGGAGATTATAGAGAAAAATTCCAAAATTATTATTGGATTGATTGAAAATATAGCAAAGTTAAAAATTTTTATCTTTTTTTTCTATCAGTTCTGAATTAGTTTTTAAAAGTCTTTAAATTTTAATCTTCTGAAAATGAATTTTTAATAATTTGTAACTGGAAATTATCATGGATATTGGTAATTTAAATAAATATAAATAAATAGGATGAATTTTTTGAACATAGGAGAAAAATGTTTAATCCATTATTATTCATTACCAATATATTTTATTTTTTTCAAATGATTTTTTTATTTTTTCCAAAAATAAAAAATCTTTAAAAAAGGAAACGACAAAATTATAAATTTTCCAATAAAGATGGATGATTCGATACTTCTCAAGTGCAGCATACCTTGGGGAAACTTCCGTTTACAAATAGACATAGTTACAAAATATTTTCGAAAGCTTCCTATTTCTCTAGTATTTACACGAAACTATGCGAATCAAGTAGATTACATGAAGTTGATGTAGAATGAAGTAACAGAAAAGAAAAATGGGTCATGGATTCTATCCAAAAATTGCATTCACGGTTCAATCGAATTTCCTCTTGCATTATCCGCTCTACAGATCGTTAAATCTACTTTAAGTCTCGTTAAAGCTAAAAATATTGTCATCGACATATATTTATGTAGCCGTAATAGGAGAGACAGATCTCCCACTGATGTATCTGATGCATAATTAAAACTGAAACGACGAAGCTCTCTTTGTACGAAGACACCGTCCGATCGATGATTCGGGGCTACGCAACATCATCACTATACCGGCGTTTCCCCGCTTTAAAAATACAAGCGGTGACACGCAAAACGCTCGTTTTTTTTTTTTTTTGTACAATACTCCCTCTAAATCAACACGCTCGATGCGGTACCAAAAATCGAAAAGGTACAAAAAATCGAATATCAATTATTATTATTATTATTATTATTATTTTTTTTTTTTTTTTTTTTTTATAAGTGTAAAAGACAGTTGTTAAGTGGCGAAAAATGCACCAAGATTTAAAATCGTTGCACATAACGATGATAAACATATTTTTATTCAAGTAAAGATATAAAATATTTACTTGATTTATTTTTCCTGTATTTTATCTTTTACATTTCTTAGAAAAAGATTCATGGAGCTGTACACGTTGTGGGTTTATATTGTAGAAATAAAAAGTTGCAATGCATACATCGATTTAAGCGATGGATTTAAATCAATTGTTTAACGTTTCGTATGACTTGAATACGTCACTTGTGTTTGATATACGTATCGCAAAATGTTTTTTAGATAGAGAATCTCTATAATGGGTACGTCCACACTAAGTGTGTTAAACTGATCGTGATATCGAAGAGAATATTTTTCCAGGAAATATAATATCTCCACCAATACCCTGCGAGTAGCTCGAGTATAAAATTTGCACAAACTTTCAAAGCTGTAACTTGCTTTTTAAATTTTTACTTTCCATCCGCGGATTCTATTTAAAGAGTCGTTTTTTAAGTTAAAAGAAAATTTATATTAAAAAAACCTTTGTTTTTTTTTCAAAAGAGTAGAAATCTTTTAAAAATTTTTTTAGTGTTTCTTTTTTTTCTCTCTCTCTCTCTTTGATTAAATTTATACTTTCTTCGATGAAATGTTACGTTATATAATTGTATATCTGTAATTACATTACAGAACAATTACATAAAAAAGATCGAATCATGAAATTATGATGAAGTCATTCATCATTTTATGAACTCTTCAGAGAAAATGGTGTCGTGGAAAAATGTTCGAACGAGAAAGAAGTTTAATTTAGAGGAGCCTTATTTAGAGAGAGTACTGTAACCGCATTCTGGAACGCGTCCGCCATATTTTATTGGTTACGTATATATATGACTAGCATTTTCGCATCAAGTGCATGCACGGTTTCGCCAATCGAATAGCTAATCATCATGAAACTTTAGAGCGCTTTTTGTATCCCAACACAACTACGATTCGATATATATATGTAGTATATGTTCATGTGTATAATGTTATAGTTATGCTTTCATTTATTCTTTCATGCGTACGTATATATTATTACATGTATCGAAATACAGTTGTGCCTTGTTCGCTCGACTAGAGTACAACTAATATCCATCGTGTAGTCGTGTAACGCGGACGACCGATGAGGAATGTCGATAACGCTAGATCCTCTTGCACAATAATTTAAAAATTAATAGTATTGGTGAATTGACGAAATACAAATTATGTAGATTATATCGTCGACTCTGCTCTTAACGATTCTTCAATTCTCCATTTTTTTTTCTTCTAAATTAATTAACTATCTCATTGATTCAAAGATTAGAAATTTATCATAATATAAAAATTTTATTGAGAAATCCAATATAACTGTTAATATTGAATTTTATGAATCTTAAATTTTTTTTCAAAGATAATAGAACGTGTAAGATTAAGAATGAGGACGACAATATATGAAATTGGATAATTATTAGATGAAAATTTTTGAAATATTTGAAATTGCTATTCAAAATTATTTTATGAAAAGTTTCATTTTATTATTAAATTTGTCAAATCTAATATCTTTGGTTATTTTTAAAATTCTCCAATAATATTAATTCAATCAGAGTGCAAGAGTGTCTTGGTTGTTCGTTTAACGAGCAATGAGATCGGTTTTTCAGATGAAGAGTACGTAAAATCGTCTGAAAATAATACTTTTTTATCTTCTTATCTCGCCCAATGAATTTACGTACTCTGTCATCTCGTCGGTTTTTGGGATTTATTACCAGGACAATTTAATTGTTCCTTTATGGTAATTAAACGAATCAACGTTCTCGCGAAGGGAGCGTGTTATAAAATTAAAAAAGGTGATTTTTCTTTCTTTTCTTTTTTTTTTTTTTTGTTCGTTAAGCAACGCGAACGATACAGCGACAATGAAATGAGACCTCGAGTAATTCACATTAGGAAAGGAGATACCTAGAACGCTGACAAAATCTCAAAGATTTATCAAAATCAATGATATTTACACAGTAAGTTAGACGAAACGCTCTCGATTCTCGTTTCGATTCGGACAATTTGCGCATTCTTACGAAACTAACGAAACTACTTTTTTTTTTTTTTCAGCGCCAATGATTCTCAGTCGCCTCGAGAAAAATTCGCGCGACACACGTTTGATTATAAAACTCGATTTTTGGCGGAACATTTAAAGCGGCAACGCGTTAATATGAGACGACACAACCCTTGAACATTTTTCCTCGGAATATCGACGTGTCGCGGTTGATACCGGCTGAAAAACATTGGCTGATGAAACCCTCTCGTTCGTAATCAGAAAAATTCGTCTAGTCGATACGAAAAGTTTTTTTTTCCCCCTCCCTCTTATTTTCTTCTAAACCTCGATTCACGAGGCGTCACGAGAGAGAGGATGAAGTCTTTTCTCGAATATGCAAAGATGTCGCGCGCCACAAAATCATCGTCATTCATAAAAGCCTAAGAATTTCCTTCATACTCACTGTAAGTATACTTACACAACATATTATATTTTTTTTGTATTTATATATTTATATTTATATATATATATATTTATTTATATTTATATATATTATATATATATATATCTTCTTTGCTCTCTGTATACGTCTACGTTTAGTATGAAAATAATTTCAAGCGCGCCTTGTTTCGTCGCACTCGTCCATCATCCAGCCGGAGCCGGCGTACCGGAAACTGGTAGCAGCCGCCTCCGGTCTGGTCACCGTCCAATAAACACTAGAACTGGAAGCCCCGTTCCCGCGACGTGAGAATCACCTTCTGATGGCTGGAAGAAGCAGTGACAGCAGACTCACCAAAAGATGAAGGACGAGCTGAGCCCGATGGGAGACACCCGGACTTAAAGCGTCGACCGGAAGCTCGCCTGGCGGCCTCATTGATGGCGGATTGTAATTTCTGTCATAATCTGCAAGCAAACACATCTACTTGTGCACGAATCGTCCAGTATGTATGAAATTGTCTCTCCTTCTTTCTTTCTTTCTTTCTTTTTTTTTTTTATTTACATTATTTTTCTAATCATAATAATTACGGAATCAGAAAGATTATAAATTTTAAACGATTCTTTAGATATCGATCTTACAGTTTTTCCAACAACGAAAGAGTTTAAGGATAATTCATAAGTGAATAATTCATAATCGAAGATAATTCCAATTGTGTAGATTCGTTTAATTCTCAAATATCTAAAGAAATCAAAAGAACACTCTTCAAATACATTCCACAACTCTTTCCACGCAACGATCATAAGTTAATCGAGAAATCGACAAGTTTACTACCAACAATACTCTCTATAAAACGTGTTCGACAAATACGTACATTGAAACATTGTTCCCAATATCCAACAATGACGTATTCAAAGACAATCGTTCGCAACACTAATTTATAAACGTCGTGTTTCCCTATTGTGATCGAATTTTAAGCCACCATCGTCCAAAACGCGACAAATTCACTCGTTCCGCGTAATCGCCGCATTGTTTTGTTACTTTCTCGTATTAAACCGTTCCTCCCGCGGAATTAACTTTGGAATCCCTTGACGATAAGAACGAGAGAGGGGATACGACGTGGCGAACACGTGGAAATAAGTGTACAACAAAGCCGAGGTACGGCCGAGGTACATGTTGCTCGAATAATGGGGCGTTCGATTATAATGCACAGGCCGGATAATCGAAGGTTTGGATGGTGATCGTGCGAACAATGCTGATAGCGTTTCTGAAAGGATTTCGACCGGACAATGCGACGGTGATTCGAGTTTCATAGGGAATGAATGCGCGAAACCAATTCGTACCGCCGTTAACTCCGAATTTCAATGGCCGCCGTGGGAACGATCCCCGCGTAACGCCGCCATCTTACGAAATAGGAGGAAAAGGGAACGTGTCGTGTGCCCGTAAAAGGGGAAAACAAGAAAGGCTACTTTTCATCTTACTTTCATCGTGTACAAAAGGATTGGAAATTCTTTTCTGTACCTCGAGAGTAGTAGTAGGATTTTAGTTCTAAATAAAAACGAGGGAATTTGGTGAACTTGGTGTCAAAGATGAAGAGAGTGTAAATTGCTCGAGAAGAAAATATTGAATTTTGTGAAAATAGCTCGATGTGATGTTTTAGAATTCAAGGAATTTGTAATATAGAATTTGGGGATTTTTAGTGGGGGATATAAATCTAGAGATTTTGCATTTTGATATAGAATCTAAAAAAATTAGATCGTGATAATATTCAAGAAATTTAGGTTTTAATATCGATTTTCGATAAAGAATCTAAAGAATTTAATTGTATAGAGTATAGAATTCTAATAAAGAATTCTAATAGAGAATTTAGAAATGTTATACAAAATATGAAATACAGAATCTAGGAAAGAAACAAATAAATAAGAAATTATTTTCATTTTATGAGTATTACTGGATTTTATTAGAATCGATGGACGAGTAAAAATTTTGTTTCAATTTGAAATAGAAGGAATTGGCCGTGAGCCATTGTTTACAGATTCTCTGTTGTAAAAGTAAATATCCTTGTGTTATTTTTAACCAGAGGCAAATTTCCAGTTCGAAAAACTGTTTTCGAGTTCAATGCTTGTGTTTAACCACCGATAATACGAGCGATTTATTAAAGAGCTCACGATTGAACGTGAGTTTTATTTTATTTTTATACAAATTTTCTGGCCAGATTTTCCATTTCGAATTATTGAAAGAGAAAGAAAAATCCAAAAATCGTTAAATCAATATAAGTATAATAATATGAAAAAAGGGCTAAAAAAATTATGCTTACTTTTCGCATAATTGAAAAAAATTTGTCGAATTTGACGATATCCTTCAATTAAAAAATTAAAAATTAAAAACACTTTTTAAAATTGTACATCTGGCATTCGAAGAACAAAATGAATGGTCGATGGTGTTTTAGATATACACGAGGATTGTCCCATAAAATGGTCGATCTTTCAACGACAACAAAAATATATGAGCGAGTATGAGAATTGTTGGGATAGAGAAGATAAATACAAGGAGTTACGGATAATACGAATGGAGGGCGGAAGCTCGAAGCTCTTCCGCGTCTCGGAATTAAATTCGACCAAATTCTCGGAATCTCTAGGATATTTGGTCTGCGCAAATCCCTTTTTAATGAGATAAAAGGCTCGCCAGCGGAAGACTAAATAAATTTATACTCCATTAGATATCATCCGGAGCCTGTTAAATCCGACTGATTCAACGATATCTTTAAAAGAAACGATCGATCAGACAATTTCTAATTATATATACGGTATGATTTAATATCTTTGAAGGAAACGGTATGAAAGGAAGGATAAAATAATTGATAAAATTAATGTGACACGAATTGTGGAGATATTTATACTCCTTCAAAGCTCGATATAATATTTTAAAAATAATTTAAAAGATTGACCTAAATTAATTCATGCTTGTCGAATAAACTTGTTCATTAACTCTATAAAATAAACTTAACTTTTCAATTTATTAACCAATTTAGAATTTTAAAGATACATGCAGATTAATTTATCCCTATAAAAATAAATCTACGACACAATAACTTATTAAAAAATAAAAAAAAAAACTCTAGGAAATACGACTGAACTTCCACCAGAATAATTATTCGTGATTTCCTAAAGAGTAACTAACCTACAATTAAAATCGACTTTAATTTTGATCGTATAACGTGAAACCCATCAAACAAAACGTATCAAAATATTCGTTCAATCGAGAATTCGTTGGAAAATATCTTCTGAATATTCGTATCCAGATGAGAAACGTTAGAGTGGCGGATGAAAAGCTGAGGTGAATCGGTCAACGAAGATGGCGGCGTATGGGGATACGGCGTCGGAATTACGAGATTTCGTGAAATTTGATGGATCGCGATATGGCAGGGGAAAACAATTTATTAAATTATTCCTTGGGGTATCGTATCTGGCGGATACTCGTCGCAATAAATACGTAATTTACGAACGGCGAGTTCGATTCTTTTCAGTGGCGCACGAATCTTCCTCTCTCCCCGTTCAATTTCGCCACTCGATTGGATTGGCCGGTTGTTCTAAGTTTTACAGACCGATCTATGTTGGATCAACACCGCCACCTGTGGCGCTAATACAAATCCGGTAATGTTGTTGGCTATGAATACATGAATATCAACCGGGGAAGAAGTCGATACATATGTACGTTTACCCCTGTTAACCCGACACCAACTTCGATCTGCATACAGGTATCGCGCGAATGGAAAGCGAGCTGTTTGATATGTAGACAGGAACGTATATCTGTCGAACATCCCCGCGTGAAACGGACATCGAAACGATTTAATCTCTCGTTCCTTTCGTTCATAGTCCTTACTTTTTAAGGAATAATACAAAATTTGTTTTATGGAATTGTTATCAGTGCCTTCGTGATTATCGTTGGTTAGAAAATTGATTTCGAATTGCTTCTTCTTTAGCAATATATTATTACGTAATTTCTTATGGATCTTCGAATATTTAAACAAAATTCTGTAAATGCAATTTATATTACATCATCTCATATTTTTCAATTCAATCCTCTTTCCACGAATCACAAAATTAAACGAAATTTCTTGATAACAAGAATTCAGGTAATCGTTTATTTTGTTATTGGAGAGGAAATAAAAAAGACACGTATAAAAACGCAAGGCGGTGCGAAACTAGCAAGTTTTTTTTTTTTTTATATTTCAAAAACGAACGAGGAACAGTCGTGGCGAATTCACAGCATTCCTCAGGAGTAGTTCGGCCGCGTCCGCTTTGGCTCGTTCCCCAGAAAGGGACGTCGAAATCGCACGTCCGCCCGGGAAAAAGTTATTCCCACCTACGAGTAAAATCCACGCTACGTGACTTTCCGCATGGACAGCGACAGACGAACCGTTTTCCAACACTTTAACAACGTCTTTACCGGTTCTACACCGCCCCTGTTTCCATCGTTTCTTTCGTTTGCCCCCGATTCCGTGACAGAATCGCGCCAATCGCCTCTATCACGCGACCGCCAATTAAACAAACTTTATATCTGGAATGAAACTAGATTGGGAATAATTGTTTGGAAACTTGTGATTATTGGTCGATGAGTTCGCGCAGGATTTTTATTTTTTTGCAAATTTTTGTGGTTTTGCTGGCTGGTTTTATTGGAAATGAACGTATTAATTGAGAATGAAGTAATTTTTGAAGTTTCGAGATTAGATTGATTTTGATTATGTTTAATAATAATTGAACATGTTATTCGAGAGAAGAGGAAAGTATTGTAAAAAGATATGTATGATTTTTGTTAAAGAGAAGAAAAGAGAAGGGATAAAGATATTTAGTTTCAGAAAAAGAAACAACGAAATTTGCGATTGATTGGACAATATATTTAATTTAAAAATATAAAAATCTAACAAATTTGATTTCGATTTAATTGATAGAAACGCGATCAAATATTCTGAAATCTCTAAGTATAATTTTTCTGCTGGTTCATCTAATGTTAGTGTTTACTGATGAATAAATAGAAAATTATTAAACATTCCAACCATAGAAACAACTTGAACAAAATTATTATTATTAATTTAAATAATTTAGTTCGCTTATTTAACGAAAGAAAAATATCAGTATTCACTCAAAGATCAACTATTGATAATATTATTAAGAAGACCAAATATTATCATATAATATTATGAAGTTAAATAATAAATTTTTGTATCTCTCTTTAATCAATATTATTAATATTATTATATTTATCAATTTATCTTCAATATTTTTCAATCAAATAAAAAGACACGTATATATTTTTAATTTTTTAAAATTTGCACAATGACTTCTCGCGTAAAATATTTTTACTTTCTTTCAAAAAAACATAATTTAAAATATCAATTCTTCGATTTTTCATAAGCTTTATCGAAAATATACGCAATTATAATTATCGCACAATTTTCATAAAGAAAAGTGTACAAACTTATTACTCAATCTAACATGCAACACAAAGACATAACTTTACAATAACAATAGACGAATTTTTAATTTGAAGAATTATAAATCAATTACTATTCGTTCAACGAAATCCCTATATTTTATCCCTAAAACAAAATAAATCACATTCCTCCCCCCTTTCAAATTACCTTCCAATCGAAGCGATTTGAACGAAAATCGAATCGATACACGCTCGTCCAAACTTTCCTCCGTCACGTCAGACATTAGGATAAGCTTCTCTGGAATCGAGGGGTGAATTGGGGTGCCGTGTCGATCGAGGTCTCGACGAATACAGATCATAAAAGTTCGCACGGTATATAAGAATCAATTCATCCGGCAGCCACTGGTCTCGACTTTGGTGCACGTGCGGGTGTCGATCGATTTAACAAATGAAGGCGAGAAAGAGGCAAACAAAGGGGTCCAGATATGGTGGCGAGAGAGAGGGGAGGAAGGGGTTGGAAAGAAACGGGTGGAATTTCTGGTGGCACGTTTCCACGTTTCGACGGTTGGTCGATGGCCGCGGGTCAAACGAAACTCGTTTTTCATTAATTGAAAGTAAACTTTGAGAAAAGGGTGAGGCCGACTCCCGAGGAATCTTTCAACAAAGTCATTGAAATTGAATTCGAGAAGTTTGACGTCCGTGCCATTTGCTGCAAATTTATCGGTATGCAGCGTTAATATCGTTTTATCTTCGTTTTATTTTATACGCGGTTTTATTAATTGTCGGTATTTTCAAATCTTGGCTGGTGTGTGATTTTAGTAAGGAGAGGGAAGAAAGTGGAGATACGATGACAGGAAACGAGATAGAGGCAAGAATTTTTCTTATTAAATTCTTCCAAGAAAGATGAGAAAGATTTTTTTCATATTTTTTTGCATGCGTTCAGCCATTTTAAATTTTGTTGCATTTTTCGCTGTTTTTCGACTGTTTTTTTTTTTTTGTATTTATCTATAAAGGACCCTCTTCGATTTTTGATGCCGCATGTTTTGTGACAATACTCTGATAAATTTGAGAGTTTAAAGAGAATCGATTCTAAATAGAATAACTTATGCTTTAACACATCGATTAATGGTTTAATTTGAGACCAAAATTACAGAAAGTTTGATTACTTTTTTCTCATGGTATCACTTTGAAATACCGTGATTGTTTAATTAATTCTTAATATTTTTATGTCGTTTCAATTAACGACGAAGAATTAGAAATGAAACGTGTGGTCATCAGTCATGGATTAATATTACGTGGTGTAATTATTTGAAAGAAATTATTCAAACGAATCAAAGAAATTTATTTCTTTCTTAATTGTAGTTAATGTACATACTTAGTGCATACGTAATTCTACATTAATGCATTATTTCCTTATGGAATATTTAGACTTTTAATCGATATTCGAAATTTAACGGTAGTTAAACTCGCTGGATTGCTCTTCTCATGCGTATTCATAAGATATTACGACGTTTAATATTCATAAGCTACGCGATACTTTAAACGGCACCGCCTCGAATCAGACTGGTAACTATAAGAAAATAAAACGGTAGGGAAAATTCGTTTTCCGACTTAAATAACCAACCCGTATTTCAACAGGAATTCCTTTTTCCGTCTTCTGTTCTAAAATAATTAAAAATCTGTTGGACAATAATTATTAAATTCATATTTGCAATCTTTATGCAATTTAAATGAAAATTAAATCAATGAATTTAATTAAATAATATATAATATGCAAATATCGTATGTAAATTAAAAAGAAAAAAAGAATGAAAATCGAAAGATCTTTCTTCTATATTATTGAGGATTAAATTTATATTTAAATCAATTTATCGAGATTATGAATTTTTTAAATAATTTTTTCAAAAATTTTTCTACAAATTCTAATTTTTTAATCCAGATAGATTCTGATATAATTTCCAGTTTGGGAAAAAAATGAAATATTGAAAGCTACTGTAATTTCCAATCTTTTTAAGTAAAAGTTAAAAGTTTCGTTATTTTTTGACGATTTCTTTCGATCAATAAACCAGCTAAAGTAGGGATTCTTGATATAAGACTCTTGAACTAAAGTGAAAGCACTTATTGAGCGGTGAAAAAGAAGTTCATACTAGTGCCAACTATTGTTGATATCTTTGGATCTGAAGTTTCTCTCGAGCTGGCGCGTCTGAAAAATACTTCCGGTTCAATTTGAACTTCGCAAATAGATATATGAACATTTAAGTTCGATGTGCAAGAAAATGTCGACGTTTGACGGATAGAAACTAATTAGTAACTTCGTGAAAATCAATTTTGCAGCGACAATCGGATTACAAATTCCCTGCAACTCAGAATCGCGCAAACTAATGTCAACAATGTCTATACAACTCTCTATTCCGTTCTTCGTCCAGTAAACTGTCAGATGAAAATTTCCATTCCATTTCATCGTATTTTAACTTTACTATACTTATAAAAGTTTCGTGGACGATAATTAAATTTTTCCCTCCTCGATATTATATCATTTTTATCTCTTATTATTTTCAATCAAAATATTTTGTTATACTATTTAAATTTCTTTCATTCACTTTTCCTTTAAATCAATTTATAAATATAAATACAAATTCCAAAAAACCATACAAATTTTTACCTAAATTGAAGACAAATAAGAAGAATTTAAACTATTAGATAAATAAATGCAAGAAAATTAAATTCATCATAAATTTAATTTTATTGTCCCCACAAATTATACAATTTTAAAATTGTTCCCACAATTACACATATTTTCATGCACACGTCCAATCAAATTAAGAAAAAATAAAGAATAGAGAATAGAGAAACTGTAAAAGTTTCTCTCACCCTAAATAAAATCAATCGTACAAATTTTTGATCTATCACTGTTCAAATTTAATCGTTTCAATTTAAAATTGTTTCAGAATCTCGAAATCGATATTGTACGCATATCCAGTCAAATTACAAAAAAAAAAAAGAAAGAAAAGAAAAGAAAAAATAAAAAGGAAAAAAAAACGTGAAAAAACGAAGAAATCGATGCAGAAACCAGAGGAGCGATCGGTAAAATCACTGTCGTCGAAAGTGTAATTCTGAAATCCATTCCGGCCAGTTAAAGGGAACCAAGTAACGTGAAGTAATTCGTTCACGGATAAAGGGGGATCACCGAACATTGGCAATTTAGTGGATTCACCGGAGAATCTCTCCACCTCGAATGTGCACCGTTGACGAGGTTTTAATTACGCTAATTACTCGAACGAAGCGGTACAACAGGCAGCCACCAGGGTGTATCGTCGTGGGAAATGCCTGAGGTATGCGGCCCGCGTTAAAATAGATATTTACTGACCTGGATTTCGCCATTCCTCGACCTCGTAGTCGATAGGTCGTTGTCGTAATTTCTTGTTACCGTTTCTACCTAAAATGCATTACACAAAGGCGGTTTTACATGGTGTGTTTTATGATGAATCGTGAGATGGAGAGACACGGGAATAGATGTCCTTGCTTCAGGGGATGAAGGGAAAAAATAGCAAGGAGGGTGGACGGATGACGATATCTGTGCAAAGATCGTGTGTGTGTGTGTGTGTGCGACGTTTTATAAAAAATGAAAATTAAACGCTCGGCTAATTCTGCCTAATTTTTCGCTCTCTTCTCCTTTTTTTTACTTTTTTCTTAGAATATACTTTTGTCTAATTTTTCATTTTTCATTTTTCATTTTTTTTTTTTTTNAATATATTTTTGTTCTTTCTTCAGAAGAATTTTGATTAAGATGAATACTTTTCTTTTAGGTATATTCATGTATTTTTAGTGTGGTGATTTTGATGTGGGATAAAAAATAGCGCAAATAGGCTGAATACCCGATAAATTTGAGGTTAGTTACCGTTCTTCTTCATCGATGCAGTCACGTGATAGGGTGGCGGTGTCGTGGACGTCGTAGATGGTGCTGGAATCTCTGTGAAGAAAAAGATGAACTTTAGTGAGTATAAATTCAGTAAATTTTTAAATCATTACTTTTTTTTCTGTAAAATAGATATAATATATTTTTTCTATTTTCTTTTTTACTTTATTATTCATTTCTAAATTGAAGATTTTAAGCAGATTTGTAATTTCTTGATAGACTACAAGATTCGTATATAGGATATATACAAATATATCGCAAAAGTGAAAAGATTTGTGAGAAGTGAAATTCCTTCCCATATATTCACATCGCAGAAATCGACATTACGACGTATCTCGTTAAACTTTTAATTTCAGCCAATTTATTCGTCCAAGGAGGTGGAAAAGTATACTCTCTCGGGATAAATATATCCTTCGTAAATTTAATCGCCAATTACGAGCCACGTTGAAAAGATAAGGACGCTTGACCTCGTCAAACGATCGATAGCCATCGAGTGGTAACGATAAGAGTTTTTTCCGTAAAAATCTATTGAAAATCTATTCATTTTTTTCAATACAAAGTCGTATATAAGAAAAAAGAGAAAGAAAGAATTACTTAATTTTCAAATAAACACGAAAACGAATTCAAATACAATCGAATACAAATTCGGCAGTGACGTTGCATCTAATTATATCAAAATTAATTGAAAATCTAATCGAAAGATATAACAAATTAACTCAAAATAATAATTTTTTAATTTACTTTTCAGACTCGTCACATTTTCATAATTTAATACACACTTTATCTATCTTCCTCTCTTCTCTAAGATTTAAAATATTCGGCTAATATATCCAAATTTTATAAAAAAAAAAAAAAATGGCGATGTACGAGAAAATTATACGTGAAATTACTCACCATCTAATTTAATGTCCCCGTCAGTTCCACCGAGAGAATTTTGTGCCACGCATTTGTACGAGCCAAAGTCCCTCGGGCCGACATTTCTAATCTTCAGCATCATGTACTTGTTGTACCCGTTGTCGGTGGACACCGCCTCATATTTATCGCCTGCAATAGAATGGTAATTGCCTAGGCAAATAAAACCACGTTCTTCTTTCTAGTTTGAAAAAGTTTATGCATGGGAGAACAAACGCCAAGGCATATCGAACGAAGCAGTGCTTGCGTGAATATTTCATACGTTCTTGTGTTTGATACGTGTATTCAAAACGTGTACTGCAAAATTTATCGCTAAACAAACAAAATGAACGCGCATGCAGTTGAATAACTAGACGAGAGTGCAATTTCTTGTATTATTTTATTATATAATTTTATTTTGAATCGCGAATTTTATTTGAGAATTTAAATATTGAAGAAAATTAAATTTTTAATTTTTTATTTTATTACAAAATTAAATAAAATGATACTGATTACTTTTTCTTATTTGTTAAGAAAAGGACATAAAGTTGAATACCAAATAAAAAAAAATATAATATAATAAAGTATTATATCACGTAGATGAAGTTTTTTTTAAGAATGCTATATAGCAAAGTATTTCCTCAACTATATTTTGTAGAGAGTTCCTGGGAATACATTTATGGTATCGATATAACTTTTTTTTTAAAACTTCAAAACATAAAAGGGGATCGTTTCGTAAAGAACAAAATTTCAAGTATTTTTTAAGAAGATAATCAATAAGATATAATTCATAAATATAAAATGAAATTAGCAATAAAATTGCACATTTGTTGGTAAATATTTTATAAATTTAGATTGCATTTTATTTAAAATAATTTTTTAGTAATGATTTTTAAAAAATATAATGAAAAATATAATCGATTTTATTGGAATAATTCAAATTTAAATAAAAATTTCAATATTCTTACAGAACGCTCTCTTCGAGAATTGTATACAGAAAATTTTGTTCTTTTTGTGTAGCGAATAATCATTATCAAGTATAAATATAATTATATCACAGTTAAAATTACCGGAGACAATCATATCGCCACGTTCGGTCGTCCAATAATTAATCGAGGTAGGATAAGCTTCTGTGTGACATTCCAACGTGACATCTTGTCCAATATATGCCGCTTCTAATTGATTTGGTATCGAAAGCATAGGAGGAACTGCAACAATAAAAATAGTAAGTGATATATTTAATTCCTCTTTTATTATTAATTTAAATAAAATTTCGGATAATCTCAAATATCCTGTTTATATTCTTTTCATAAAATATTGCTCAAGAATCAAAATTTCATTGATAAAACGAATGAAAATACATATTACTTATCCAGATAATAAGGAAATTACGTAATCGAAAAGGCGGATATTTGAAATAGCTTGGATCAATTTTTGGGATTAGGTGAGCTTTGAACTTTAGCGACGAAACTTTCCACGCTTTGTACTCCCCAAATTTAGAACTATTCGAACTGCATAATCTAGTGCATCAGAACTCTCTGTTTGCAATTCTGTAAATCCTAGAAAATCCATTAACTTATAACGAATTTCGTTAAAACTTTTCGATATGTTTGTCACATCAACATTGATTAAGCAAATAATTATATTTTCCAAATATAATTAAGAAGCAAATGATCAATTCCATAAATTGTAATAAGAAATAATCGTACAAAATATTTAAAAAGTAATAAAATAAAATATAAATATAATAAAATCAACTTTTTCAAATTTATTCAAATCTATTATAAAAATAATAGATTAATTGCGTGTTAATTTAGACAAATAGAATAGACTAGCAATTATTAGAGAGGTCAAAATCAATAATAGTTAGACAAATGGGATAGATCATTCATGATCAATCAAGTGAAACCAGATAGGTCTAATCAAATAAGTGGAATATGTCAATCAGCCAGACAAATAAAAATAGGCCAGCATGTCATATTTAAGCATACATGACTAAGCAGAGAGATATATATTGAATAATTATGATCGAAAAAAAAAAAAAGAAGTGGATCAATCAATCCATGACCCAAATGAATTAATAATAACTAAATAACGTAAGTTAATCATAGTCAAACGAATGAAATAAATCAATCATAATCGTCCATCTTCATATACTTTAATTTTCTTCATTTTTCTAACGTGTTCTATATAAAGTTTCACTCAAAAAACTTGAACATGATTCCATGAAACGTGAAATTCCTCTCGAATTTTCGATTATTATACGATGTTTGCTTCTCCAAGATCAATATAGATATATTCCATGGCCGCAATATCGTGTCATAGTTTCATCTTTTACGAAGCAACGTAAATCACAATTTACTACCACCATGTATATTCGAGACGATATCACTCTTGTTAGATGGCGTCCTTCGTCCATTCAATATTCTTCCCTTGACGTTTTTGTTGAATTATCGAGTTGATATTGGGACAACCATTAGCCGATCGCGATATTGGGAAGGAGTTTCGAATGGTTATCATCTATCTGACTCGAAAAATTTGGAAAAAAAAATTTTACTCATCGATGATATTGATTGGATACGTGAGCTACGTTCAAAACTGTAAGTTTTCACTATTAAATAAGTTAAACGATATGATAATGTTACAGATGATTGTACAGAAACCTTTTAAAAGATCTGTTCTACCAATTATAATAATATATGGAAAGTATACGTGACAAGTATGTAAAAATATAATATTAAATATTTAATAATTACTTAAATATTTCTAATAAAATATTTTTTGTAGGGGGCATGAAATGATTAAAATCTCAAATCCAATTATTCCTTCGCAGAAACTAAAAAAAATGACAACGGAAAATACTTAAACGTGAGTAGTACGTGATTCTCGATGAAAAATTTCCATTTGAAGACGGTAATTCACGTTTCATCGGCCGATTATTAAACGCTCGTGTCCATCCATGCGGTAGAACGGAGGCTAATGTGTCGGAAAAGACAGGGCGGAAACGCGTTTCGCACCCTAAAACTGGATGAACGTGACGGCCGTGAGGGGGATGAACGGATCTAGGTACATCGAGCATATCTGGGTCAAGTGGTGGCCGTAAATCGTTGGCTAAATGAGACGTTGAAAACCAACATAATCCATCGCGTAGGATAGAACAATTATTCTTTATCGAGATATTGTGCATTACGTCATCATTGCACTACGTCCAAAATTATTTATCTATTCAAAGATATCATGGTTGCTGTAATTAAGTTTTTCTTTGGATCGAATTTTTGTGGAGAATTATTTATTCTGAAATTTGACGTTTCGGACAAATAAACAATTTATATGGATGAAATAATTGTTCTATAATTCTTATATACATTTATATTAGTTTGTTTCATTGTTTCTTAAATAGAATATTATATATTATATATCAACTAATTGTTCAAACATTTTCAGGGATGATTCTCCAAGTCAAGATTTCCAATTTTGTTTGTTATTGACAAGAATCAATGATACGTTGCTCTATTATTATATTCTATCAGAAAAGAAATATAGTTTTATCTAAAATGAATTTATTTCAAAATAAAAGTCATTATAATGTATGCTAACGAGATACAAATCGTTTTATCCCATTGAAAAAAATTTCAATATAAATCCCACTATAAATTTCATTCTCTCGTTTCAATTGTACGATGCGAGCAAATTTTACACGATAATAAAAATGATATTACGTATTAAAAATGAGAAATAATTTGACACGAACAGTTTCGAAAATTTTCTATTCAAAAATATATTTGAAATCGCGGGAAACGCGAGCGGTAGACGATATAAATATTCAAGCAACTTCAAATATTTTTCCACGAACGCAATTTTTGAAAAGTTTCGAAAAGGGAAGCGTTTACGCATGGTTGAAGTTAATATAACACGTTCACAAAATTTAACGGGGCAGTTTAGGATTAACATGCATATAAAGCAGTCCAATAAACACACACGCCGCTCCTTCACTATTTGAGGAATATATGAGGGAATATTTCAGTATACTCACATTGCACGCGAAGAGATATGCGTTGGCTAACTCGCGGTGGAACGTCGTTCGAAGCGATGCACAAGTATGCTCCCATGTGCAATCGACTTATCTTCACGATGTGCAACACCTCGCCATTCACGACATTCACTATAATACAAACAGACCGATATTTCATTAGAGTTTCGAGTGTATAAATCGCATACAATTAATTCATGTTTTAAAAGGGAAGATAGATTCAATTGATTTTGATTAATGTGTCAATATTTAAGTATCTATTTATCGTAGAAAGGAAAATGCTTGAAATTATTAACGTATTGATACTCGGGGATTTATTGAGGATTATTTGGATTTATAATTTTATATTAAGTGATATCGATGATATTTTTCTAAATTTTGTTTTATTAAAAATTAATTTTTAATAAAGAGAAATGTATATAAATTATACATTTATAAATAATTAAATACTTTTTATTTTCTGCTTTGCAGCGTACATTTTTCTTTCGTACGAGAAATATATTATAATTCGTTTAATAATCGTAATTTTCATTCGTTTTAATAAAAATAAATGTTTCTCACGTATGCTTTTTTTTTCTTTAGAAAAATTGGCAGATGAGTACGAAATTTTAAATTGCTGTATCTCTCAAATATACCACGACCCAATAAGCAACTTTTAAAACCGCGACCTCAATGTTTCTGTCACTTTCGAGCTATTAATATACACCACAGCTCATAATTATTCTATCGACTTTAAAAATCGATATACGTCGCTCGAATAATTTCGATACGTAACATTTCAATCAATTTATAATAGAAACTGTATAATAAATAATGACATTCATTATTTTCTATAAAAAAAAAATTATGTTTTTCCAAACAAAAGATATTTAGTAAATATTTATTATATGGACGAAATATAGAAAATATAGAAAATCTATATGGTTTGAATATTTATTACAAATTAATTTTTTCTTCGTTGGATAGAATTTTGGAAATACTTGCTAATATATATATAATAAATGCTTTTTTTTTTTAGAGTTAATTTTTTATTAAATCGTGCAATTTTGGATGGGTAAGTTTCTTCGGTGAAGTCGAATCGGTGAAAATTCGGACGTAACACTATTTGTGGAGAAATCGAAGTTTCCAGGTTGAAAAGTTCGGCTAAAAGTTCAGAGGAGACGACCTACTTTGACAGTACCGAATTTATAAGTGCAGAAGGCATCGCGAAACCTCCATCTACTTAAGATGAACTTGGAACGCTCTTGCTCTTTTTAAAATATTTTTAATTCGGCTTGATGTTGAGAAAAGTTTCTCATTAGGATATACGATGTTTTTAATAAATATATACCATTAAAAAATAAATGGGTAAAGTATTGTAAGAATATTTCGTTTTCAAGGTAAAAAAATTTAATATTATCTGGTAATTTTTTTCACTATCTTTAATCTTTTAAAAATATTCCCCATTATTCTAAAACGTCTTTTTAATTGTTTTTTTTCTTTTTTCAGACTGATTACCATTCGTTATTACAACGAAATTCCATTTCAAACCACTTGAACCACTCAACTTTTTACGAGCGAGTATTACTCCTATAACAATATGAATATCGTCCATTCAAGATTCGAAGTTTGATTCTCTAATGCATCTATAACCACGGCTCATTAATATCTGTCGTAGAAAGTAATTATTTATTCCATCCTATATTCACCGCTTCCGCTATACACCGGGCATATAATTAAATTACGTTAAACGATTTATCATTCCGGCCAGTCGCACAAACCTGCAAAACTTCCGCGTTCCACATTTTCCTGTAACTTTTACCGTATTTTGCGGCTGTGCTCGGTCATCCGTTCCAACGAATTATGCACGTGAGCCAAAACGAGACCCCGCGCACGATGTACGTAAATAGTCCCGTTTCCGGTTTCACTCCACTCTAATAAATATCGAAACGAAAAGTTCGCCAAGACAATAAAATTCCAATGGAACTGATAACGATATATTTTTCGATACGATTTCACGAATTGGATAATTTTTTTTTTTTTCTACATTATGAAAATAATTAGATTAATGTGGATGTTTCTATCATAAATAATATTAAAAAGGAAAGTACCAGATAATTTTACAAATATAGAGCGTTGTAATGTTACAGAATTATCATGTTCTAGATACATCCGCTCGTTTCAGTGATAATGCAGTTAAGTGAAATTGAACATATTATTATTAGATAATACCTAATTTTGATTAATAACACATACGTGTATTCAAGCAATTCAATCGAAATATAGAATTGGAGAGATACTGTTATACTGATCTCTCTACGATGTAATTATAGGAAATTGCGGGACACTACATTACATTTACCGAGCTTCACTTTAGCTTTAATAGGGTTGATTAACTTATTTGTTAAATTTAACGTGGTTTACAATGTTCGTTTAATCCTTAGGTAATTTATGTGCGCCAAGTTTTCTATAAAGGCCATCCACGGTCCAGTTTAAAATTTTTCACGATAATATATTTTCTGTTTTAGAAAGGAAAATTATAAAATTACACTTGTAAACGCGATCAGGTTAAATAACAGGGACGAAGCAAATTATATCCCTGGAAAGGCGATTAAAATGAAAGGAGGGAGGGCAAACAATTTATCTGAAGATGCATGAGCCGTAGCAATGATCGTGATACATTGAAGGGTATTATTCGATTCGAGGAATTCCACGTTCTTATACCATCCCATTACCTTCCCGTTACTGTTCTTCGCCAATTGTAGCAACAATTCTTTCCTCCTGATACAATGCGCTTTTACCTTTTACCGTGAAAAACGTTCAATTGGTTTTCCATCGCTCCCCAACATTTACTCACGACCAGTTTAAAACGACCTGCGGAACCTATTTACAATCCCCTTTGCCCTCTGTTTCGCCAAGAATTCTGGGAACGATAATTTCGCGTATAAAAATAGCGATCTGCAGGTACACCGTTTTATTATCACCCTCTTATTGGAACGCGTCTGCAATCGTCGTCCGTTTTTACGTTCCTTTGAACGTTATGCTTGCATATTTACGCGAACAGGCTGCGTTTCATTACATTTTACGTTATTCCCCCAGAGATATAGGTCTTCTTTTTCTCTCAACAGTCGTTTTCCTTTTTTCTTTTCTTTTTTTTTTTTTTTTTGTTTTTTTCAACTTCCTTTATTATTCCCCTCCTCGCGATTGTGTGATATTGCTTCATCGACTCGGAGTCGAGGGTCGTAAACTATTTACACATTTTCTATTGATCGTTGTAGATGGAAAAGGGAAATCTAATTCCACCAAGGATCAGGTCAAGGATCCTAGATACATCGTTGATGCGAGATAAGATGAATTATATTAGACAGATAAATAGACTGGGCTAAAAATAGTTGGATAATGGAATAGATCAATCACTATTGGTCAAGTGGAATAAGCTAGGCTCGAGCAAGTAATAGTCAAACAGATAAGTAAATAAATTAAACAAATAAATAAAACATACAATCGTAATTAAAGTTATAGAACAATCCAATCATAAATGAATAAAATGAATCAGACACGTAGAATAAATCAATCGTGGTCAAGTGGATGAAGCTAGCAATGCTCAGGCAAGTCGAACAAGTGAAACAAACCTATAATAATCAAATAAAATAAGCAAACTATTTTTTACTAACACATTTTTTTCAATTGATTAAATGAATCAATGTAACCGAAGTTATTACGAGTTATGCATAATTTCAAACTTTTTTTTTTCATAATTACTGTACACTACAGTGCGCTAATTCAATCTAAATTTGATACCGGTAGTCGCGTCATGTAATAAAGTCTCGTTATTACCGTTTTCCACCCTATTATTTCCTTATCAAATAGATAAAACTTATTAACAACACTTCCCCGGCAACAACGCCACAATACACCCTAATCGCCGACAAAAGAAAACGCGTGGTGGCGGCGAAACTGGGCTGCGTCCTCGATTGTACGAGCTTATCTCGCGTGACTCGAGACTCTTATCATTCGGGAGGAAATATGGGGGCCTGTGAAGGTCGATGAAAGGAAGGAAATCTGTTGGCGGTGTGGAAAGTGGTGCAAGAGGATGGTGTGAATCTGGTTGCCAGACCAGACGCCAAATCTATCCATTGTTCCATAAACAATGCTTCAACGAAAAGATGTGTCTCCTACTTTCCAGAGTTTTAATCAAATAGTTCCGCAGAATCCCGCAACTATCCTGCTTCATCTGTTTAGCAGGAACTTTTAAAAGTTTCCGTTTTGATGGGAAATCACGATATGCCATTGCTCGACGAAATTTCACTGGGGGATAAATCTGTTGCGTAGTACAGATTTAATGGAGATTGTGGTCAATTATTTTTGAACGATGTTAGTATCGTTGTGTGAGAGTGAAATGATAGATTCGAGACATTTCTTAATTTTATTTTAAATTAAAAATTTTGATCGTAAATGTTTTCTATAAGTATGGTAATAGATGGTCGCTTTTTATGTACGTAATTCTTGGATATTTTGGATTGGATGTGCTGTGCTATTTTTTTTAGAATATTTTGAGTTTTACATTCAATATTTTTTTATTAAATTGTGATATCTTTTTTATTAGAAAACAACATTTATTGTTTTCTCTATCGTGATTAGGTCATTTAGGATAATTTTTCTATTCTTTATTTCCCTATTTTCTCATAAATTGTTCCAATGCTAAATAGTGACGGACTATCTTTAAGAATCCTTAAAAATTTCCATTTAAATATCATGAATTAGAATTAGAGATTTTATTGATGATATAAGTCAATTAAGCTATAAGGATTTATAACAAGATTGTACGTCCTTTTTTAGTAAATCACTTTTAACTAATAATAATTTCTTGAAAATCAAATCTGTGAAAAGTAAATTTCAAAAATTTGGCCAATTTTCTTCCAACTATCCACATATTATTGCATTAATCTTTCGATTCTTCGTAGATCTTATTTGCAAGAAGTATCTCAATTGAGAATTAAATCTAAAATCAGATTTTTGCATTTGTCAAAAATCATTCCAAATCAAATATCAGCGAAACCAGCAGCGCGAATCACCTTCAAAATAGCGCCGAATCCCAATTTACTCGGGCAAGGAGCGGCGTGAAATTTTCATAACGCGAGCATTGCACGATA